TCCGTTAATGCTTTCCTTAATACACCAACCAAGCTGCTTCAATGCTCATCGACAGCTCGATACGATTTCTCTCTTATCCGTCGCTCAAATCTTTTTCGAATTACACACAATACAATTACACGGAACAATTAATTCGATCCATCAATTAATCAATTGCGATGCAAATTTATTTAACGATTCTTCTAACTATTTTTAAATGTGAGTAAGGAATATATTTTGGTCGAAGATTATTTTTTTTTTTCTTTTTTAGATAATTTCAAGCTTTAAGCTTTTTACGTTATGAGATTTTTTTTGGCAGATGTACAGGGTGTTCTAAAAAAATGTGGAAACACAACTTGATAACTTTTTAATTTTTGCAGAAGGAACGTGTATCTTAATTGAAGTTTTTTTTTTTTTTTTAAGTAAGTCTTTTTTCTTTGTAAGAATTAAAATTATGTTCCTCTCGCAGGGGAAAAAGTTTCTCGAGACTTTTGAAATTATCCCGAAAATTTTTAATTAAGGAACGATATATTAAAAAATAAATTTATCTCTATTAGATAGACCGGTTTAAAATATATACAGTTCGAATAATCGACGCCCCATCGACTGCATTTGCATGAAATATTCGAATATTTTTGCCCGAAACGTAATTTTATTTTTCATAAAATCCTCTTACAGTCATCTGGAGTGGATGGAAACTTTTTTAAACGAATACTTTCATTCGTCGCCGTTTTGCATTCACCCGATTCTCATTTAATTGGGGTTATGTAAATTCATTCGATTTCATTTGTACGAAAATCCGAAAGTTTTCTTCCGCTCGTCGTCGTTAAATTTCGGACGATTCAGCTCGAAAAGCGTCTCGGGAAAATTATCAGCAACCTTATCTGTTATTTGCGATAAAATACGGTTTAAAATGTTGTTGTTAAATATTGAAATTTAGCAGAGAAAAATCGAACGTGAATTGTGTATTTGAAAAGATTCGTTATAAATATGAAAGAAATGATTGAGATCGATCGAGATACCAAAATTATTCTTGATATTTGAGATGATAATAATTAGAAAATCGAGCTGAAAAGATAAAATCTAATTGGTCTAATAAAAATATCGATTTATTATTCGAACAATGTGTTTGAAAATAAATTACAATAAAGCATTTTATGAAAAATGTAAACGAAAATTAAAAATTAACAACAATTATAAAAAGATTATAAAATGTTTACGAATTCGACTCGAATGCATATGTATTTTCAATCGTGTTCCAGTTCAAAATGTTATATTAGCCTGGAAATTGATTGAACGCGTATAATATCTCTTTATATGCAAATTAATCACTCCGTTTCGATGAATAAAATGAAGAATAACACGGGATCTAACGTACGAATATTAATATATATGTAATTAATATAAGAGATAGTGAACGTGTATAAAAATTGATTAAAAATCGTATTTTCGAAATTGTTGTTTGCCGTAATTATAATAATAATAATAATAATAATTATATGTAAAGTAATAATTGAATTGAATTAATATTAATTTCTTTTAAACTATTACTACCACGTTGTTATTCATGTTGATAAAATCATCGTGTGTTTCCAAACTGTGCAAACTTTCGTCATCCAATTTGATATTTTAACAACAATATTTCGTAACAACAGGAAACAATTAAAAAAAACATCATTATCGAATAAACGCGTGCAAACGTTCGATTGGAATTTTCTTCCACTTACGAGAAAATAAAATTTCTTTCTTTTGCACGTAAAAATGTGTATATTTCTGTGTTTCGTTTCCTTTTTTCCCCTCCTCTCTGTATTTCTCGATACAAAAAAGCTAAAACATTTGCCGTTTCCAGATCGAGCAAAAAAATTCCAACAATTTTCCTTCTTACTTTCGAGAAAATAGAATTTCTCTATTTATTCAGAAATGTATATATATATTCTTTTTTTTTTTTTTAAATATAGAAAAGATAATAACTCCTGTTTTCTCGATGCAGAAAAGCTGGGGAAAATTTCCAGGTCAAACGGAAAATTTCAACGGCTCCATTCGATCTCTGCTTTTTGTAAATCGTCCAACAAGTAAACGCGAAATGTCAGCCTCCAGGAACTCTAATTATTCCCGAATTCGCCGATTGTTTCCCCGTCGAAAGAAGGTGAAATTCGGTGGAAATGCAGTGAAAAATCGATCGTTCCTTCCTAATCTCACTGGAAACAGCACAACCAAACGTGTCACAAGTAAATTCGAATTCTTGCTTAATCTTAAAGAGAGAGAACTGATACTTTAAAATAAATTCGAACGATTCCAGAAACGGGAAAAAATATTATACCCCGTATAGAATTTATGGAAATTTATGGAAATTTATTCCAAAATTAATTTTCATAATTATCCCGATAATTCTCGTGTGGAGGAAAAAGTGGTAACGCGAGATCCTGTCGGCAAGTTGAAATCTTTCTATAAAATCAATATTTAAATATTTTATAATGGAATATGTATGTAGAAAAAACGAATATTTCCGTGAAATCAACAATTTCTTTTTCTTTTTTTTTTTTTAATATATGTATAGTATTTCATTTTCTTCGATGAAAAGAAAAAAGGAATTGATAATAAAAGGAATTATTATTATTATTCAAATCTTTCACAAGTCGATAATCGATTTAGTAGAAAAGTTAACAATTTCTATAAATTCATACGCTTTAAATTTATTTATTCAAGAAATTACATCGTGAAACATTATTTTCCAATAGTTGGCGAATTTATCAAATACTTTTCTAATAATTCGATTATACGTCACGAACACCTGAAACCCTGTTAATAAATCCACTCTTCCATCGAAGGAAACTTATACAAAATCTCTCTCTGTGAATCTTTTCACACTCGAATTTCGACTTTGCAAGTCGTGATCGAACTCGCTGTGCCCAAGAATTTCAACCCGATCGAATATCCCGAGCTCGAGATAATCGGTCTCATTGTTGGAACAGAATTTCCACCATCTCGATTCAGAACTTTCGACGATCTCGGGCCGCGGCTCGACTTCAAGAGAATCTAGGAGAAGGAACAGGTGTGCGCGATGCAGTGGGCGCCAGAGTCGCGATGCTCGTTCGAGAAGAGGTAGAAAAAATGAGGGAGGGGGGAGGAACGAGGGAAGTGGAAGGAACGAACGGTGAGGAAAACGATTTTCTCCATTCCCTTCGAAAGAAAATTCGTCGAAAAGAGAATCGAAAAGTTCGAGGGATACGTGCGCGCGTATCTTAAACGAAGTGAGCTTGGATACACGTAAATAGATGTGGGATTGGATCGAGGTCTTTGGCCTCGAGGTTTGGCAAAAAAGTGGTGGGGAAAGAACCGTGCGAGGGAACGAGAAGTTTCCGCCGAGCAAAGGAAGGTGGAAAAGGAGAGAAATCAACGCTTTGTTTGGGAATTTTCTTTTCGAGGAACGAGGATACCTTAGGATAAAAGAATCGGCTCCTTCGAGTATAATGGATGTAGGCGATTTAATTCCGTGCGATGCAGAATTTTCTTGGAGCTGATATCTTTTTTAGAGAGAGAAGTATTATTATTATTATTATTATTATTATAGATATCAACAGTTTTATGAGGATAAAGATTTTGTATTTCGTTTCACAATCTGAATTCACATCAGAAAGGGAATGGTGGACATCCTTTTCGATACAAGGATACAAAAAAAATAATTGAAAAGGAACTCTTTTCCCCCACACATGACGTACGATCACGTTGTCTCGGGTGAAGTTAAATTATTTCTTATCTAGCTTCCAATCGATGTTTTTATATAATAACTTTCTGTTTTGATATTCAAAATCTAACCAAATTCCAGAAACAATTTTTTTCAAATTATTCCTCGTTCGAGTTTCGTACAGCGAAACGTTTCGAAATTTTGAATTCCGTCAGGGTTTCGAGTAACCTAATCTTAAGTCACATTTTAATTTTCCTTAACGACTTTCAATTTTTGCGAAGCAGTCACACATTATTAAGCACAGAGAGAAAATAAAGCTCTATCGAATAATTACAATAATTATATAATAAAAAGTCGCATTTTTAACGAATCAAAATATTCTAATTTATTTATTTAATACGAAATTTGTACAATTATATATAACAAATAAATTTAATTTCGTCGCTTTCGATTCGAAACTTATCGCTTCTCGAACGACTGCCTTGTGCTGCCATCGTACGTCCAACGATATGACACGTTTTTTTCCCCTTCCCCTTCGTCTTCACCTTCTCTTCTCCCGGAAATTTTCCCCGGAAAAGGTTCCATCAAGCAAGAACACGATCAGGCCGGTGCGACGTTTGGAACAAGGCAAGGAAGAACGAGAGAGAGAGAGAGAGAGAGAGAGGAGGAGAGGCGAGAGAGAGAGA